GAGAGAGAGAGAGAGAGAGAGAGAGAGAGAGAGAGAGAGAGAGAGAGAGAGAGAGAGAGAGAGAGAGAGAGAGAGAGAGAGAGAGAGAGAGAGAGAGAGAGAGAGAGCGAGAGAGAGAGAGAGAGAGAGAGAGAGAGAGATAAATAAAGGGAAAAAGATTACCTAACTAAAAGGAAATGTGCGTTTTAGTGTACTCGCGACAAAGTATGAGTGGGCGTGCGGTGCGTTGACGCTAAGTGACAGGCGCGGCGGCCAACCACTCTCATCTCTCTGACCAGGAATCGTGTCGGGGTTGTGTTTTATCACATGATGAAGGGCTGCGGGAGCCACGCGTTTCTCTGTATAACGCGCTTCCGATTAGGCGCTCGTCGCGGCGGATGCGTCCTCTCTGCGGAGAAAGGTCACCTGCAAATTTCTGTTTTCATTTTTGTTAGGCGATAAGTAGGTTGCGTGCGAGTTCGTGCAACTGTCGCGTCTGTTATATACCCGACTACGTCGCCGTTACAGTAATGGTTGAGCCGAATCGACAGCGACTGTAGAACCACTAGGCGGAACGGACGGGCCTAGCTCCCGCAGCCATTTATCATGCTTGGGTTAGGCAGGAACCTGGCCGGAGCAGGTGGATACCAGCGAGGGTCAGTGCTGAGCCGGTGTGCCTATCTCGGAGTGATTCTCTTCGTCTACGCGGTATGCTTTCGGATGTCGCCGCACAAAGGTCAGTTTAATCAGGTCGTCCTTATATACGTACTCTGCGCTGTATTTTAATAGTTTTTACAGCAGAGTGCCTTTTCAGTTTATACGAATCGTTTATTAAACTAGTGATAATATTTGCATAGTATTTTTCGTTAGTGTATACTCGCTGTAGTATTTATGCTAATGACGATGGTATTAACCACGACGAGAATCATATGTGTATCATAAGTATCGTTATTAAAGTTTATTCGCTCTAGTAGCTGCTCTAACGACGATTAATCACTCCGCGCTGGCATTATGATCCGTCGCGTCTAAGTTTATAGTCTATACGTGTGTATTACACTCAGTTGACGTGTATTGTCGTCACACACAATGCGCAGCGAAGCCGAAGCTATAGTGGAAAAGAGCAACATTTAATAAATAATGAAGTAATCATCAGGAAAGAAGGATATACCGGCTACTTCGTTAATTAATTAACCAGTATACGTGCGGTATCGGCGCTTTGCGTGGAGAGCTGAGCCTATTATGGTAGTGTCTTATTATATGGCCTGCTAGGTTATTTATACTTAATGCAGAGTATATATACCAACTTTATTGATATTGACCATGTAACGTAAATGTAGGAAGTTAGAAGGTGCTATCTTTGCTATATTTATCAACAGCAACATCACCAAGATCATCAGCAGCAACAGCACCATCGTCGTCAATGTCGTCGTCATTGTTGTCATTTTTGTCATATCTTGGTCAACACTTGAGACTTATAAATGGACTAATACAGTGTTTTAGAATGCGTGAGATGCGTAAAATCAGGTTATGGACTAAGACATATATAGAATAGCAGCGATTGGTGGTAAGGGCCACCCACGTGACGGAATTGCCACCCACGTGACGGTTTTCGGCGTGACGGATGCCACCCAGATGAACCCGCGAAGTCATCAATTAATACTAACGTTTCTGAAAACGAATTTTTAATAAATTTGCTAATCGGTATAATATGTCCACAAGCCTAATACGCAAAATAGCAGCGGGACGTAGTTGGGATGGGGTGTGGCCGTGACGTAAGAACAGGTAATCTCACCCTCTAATTCACCATCTTGAATTGACGTGGTTATTTTTTTAAAGCCATATGGCCCTAATGCGCACGCACCGCCGCTCACGTTCTGGTTGCTTGGCTTCCACGCGTTCGCTGCCGATTATGCAAACATCAATATTGCGTCAAAACAACTAATTTGAGTAATTACACGACTTTTAATCAGTTTTATCCCAATAAACGCGCAACAATTGTGGAACCGGACAGCAGGTAACATCACCAAGTTCCGCCGAACCCCGTTTGTTTCTATTATCTGCCACAGATGCAGCTTCTTACAATCAATGAACATTCGTTAACTTCCATAGATTTTTTTAACTAATGCAAGCTAGATTCGCTCTATCTGCAATGCTCTATCTAGAATGTCGCATGCGTGCCTTCACAGTCTGGATGCACATTATGCAATCGACCATAATGCTGTCTCTATTATCCCGGCCAATTCAATAGTAAACATAATGTGGCGAGATTTTTCAGTTTACGATATAGTAACAAAGAATGCATTAAAACGTCACTGTATTCTACATTTCTGTGCTGCATGTTGGTTTCACTGTCGTCACATAATTATATACATACAGTTTTTATTACACCGTCTAACTAACACATTGACATATACGTACATTCACCGGATTACTTCGCTCCTCGCTTGCACCGTTATTTCTAAAAAATACCAAATATGTCTTGATCACCACTTGCCACTTTCAAATCACAGTCGTTATTTAATTTTTAAACTAATTTAAAACATGTGATAAACAGATGTAAACTAATTTAAATGTATATAACATATGGTAATAACATATAAATTATGGTACGAGCACACACGAGCGGAGCATAAATCAAGAGGGTGACTTTCAGATTAGGGATTCAGAAAATGCCTACAGCGATTTGCAACCTTAGTAGAAAAGTGCTGTTCTAATATTGCGTGCAGGTAAGTAGGCCTATATCTCGTTAAGTACTGCGTGCGTGACTCAATCGTTCGCGTGCGCGCGCAGCCAGCTGAACCCGGCACGCTCGCAGCCAGGCGAACACGGCGCGCGTGCATGTGTCGCGGCTGAGAATCATATAATCAACAGCTAACAAATACATTATTACTAAAAATTATTATTATTATTATTAAGGTATTTATTAGCTCTTCATATAATCACAGGAACATAGGCATGCACGAGTAAATGTGAGAAGACGACAGTGCGAGAAAGAGAGCGAGAGAGAGAAAGAGAGAGAGAGAGAAAGAGAAAAAAAGAGAGAGAGAGAAAAAAAAGAGAGAGAGATATCGTGAGAGACCAAAGGAGAAACGGATATGCCAGAACCATAGAGACAGAGAGCGGAAGTGGGAGCGAGTAAGAAAATGAGAGAAGGATAATGTGAACGAGCAACCGAGAAATAGAGCAAGACAGAGAGAGAGAGAGAGAGAGATAGAGAGAGAGAGAGAGAGAGAGAGAGAGA